ACTTCTTTCAAAAACATAAAAAAATCTAACTGACCCCATGAGTTTCTTTCTACATAGAACATTACAAATAAGCCACTTGTGAAGTTTGATGCTTAGGATGCCCTTTACATAGTAGGAAGTGAAGCAGCTCACTAGACTTTGGAACAGAGCAGATGTGAAGAAAAAAACAAAAGAATATGCTTTAAATTCTCTTGGAAGTTTCTTGTTAAATCAGTGTTTTTGCCATTCTCTCGCCTAAGAGAACAGACTTTCTACTTCCCACATACACATCAAAACAACACAGAGACATGCACGCCACCAGCAAATCAACTAATGTGCTGTAATTATATGTTACCACTTTGAAGTGCCTAGTATTTGCTGCCCGTGCATATTTACCCTTACTATTCAAAGAACATTAAAGAGCATCTAAAATAAAACTCAGGAGGACATGTTGAAGTGTAAAAGACCTGTCCTGTTTGACTAAAGTTCAAAGACCTGTTTTGAAGACTTTAAAGGGTTTTCCCTCTGTATCCCGTCTGAATACGTGTTGAGTAAAAGTGAAGTGAGAGCTGAAAAGAAGATCCCAGCCCCATGCATGGATTTCCCAGGACACAGTTAGTGTGACATCAAAGGCAATAACCGAACGCAGTGCCAAGGTGTGCGCTCTCCTTCTCTCTCTCTGGCCTTTGTGCTGCATGCATATTTCATTTCGGCCTTTGTGAAAGTGTGTGTGGGCCACTGTAGGTGGGAACGCCTCCCAGAAACCTTTGTGTCCGGTGCGGGACGCAGCGCAGGTGGCATGTCAGTGATTCGAGGGGGTTTTTACAACACATAAGGGCCTTTTGTGCCGAGTGTGATTGAGCTATCGTGTTTAAACGTGTGGGAGGAAACAAGACGAGGGCGATGAAGATGACACAAAGGCCTCCACCGAAGCAGATGGGTGGTGTCTGATCTGGCCATTTGTCTCCTGTGACACACTACTGCGCCAGCTCTGAGGCGCAAGGTGATCCCTGCCTTTTTACTTCTTCCTGTTCGTGTCAATGGGCCGCTCAGATTACAGCATTAGGCTTGTGTGGGCGTCCGCAGCCAGAGCTGGCGTCACAGTGCCAGCAAACTACTCTTCAGGTGTGCAACTGATCCATTTAAAACCTTTGCCCTTAAGGGGGTGTGTGGGAAGGTAATTGAACCAAATTAAGAGATGGTACCTGTTGCATCATGACGATGTATGTCCAGCCTTTGTCATTTTAAATAATTTTTTCACATTTCATGTCATTTTTATCGCTCAGTCTGTGCATATGCTGCCACCACGACAAAAGAGATCGGTTTCATGCTCTTCAGCTGTATGACTAAGTGCATTAATCAAATTACCTCTTCCTTTTCTCATTCATCAGTTCCTACCAGCTTCATCTGGAGGATCAAAGGATGGTGTCGCACACAATAATACATCCCACCCATGTTAATCAAAATTTAATAGACGTTATATATTATTTATCTATCTAATTCATTATTTAATTACCTCTCATTTGAATCTTAGGTTTTGGACACATACAATCATCATATAATTTCAGCTCACACTAAATTCAGTGGTGTTGTAAAGTCAAGTCATATTATGAAAAGTGCAATACAAATTTATTTATATAGCGCTTTTCATAATATCCATAATTTTAAAGCATGTTGTGGACTTCTGGTAATTAATGTTACATTTGCATCTGATGTTTTCAAAGACACCATTTATCTTACACTATGAACAAGCAGTCAATACTATAATATTTTGTTGACAATTCTGTCATCATTTACTCAACATCAAGTCTTTTCAAAATTGTATGACTTACTTGAACACAAAGGAAAACATTTTGAATAATGTTGGTGTCAATGGGGTCCAACAACACTGGACCCCATTGACATCATTGTATGGATAAAACTATTTGTAAATATCTTCTTTTATGTTCCACAGAAGAAAGAACATCATACAGGTTTGGAACGACAGAGTCAATGATGCCATTTACAATTTGGGGTGAACTGTCACTTTAACATTCTTTTTATTGAAACCAAGATACATCAAAAACTCAGTTCTCACGTTTAAATGTTTTTAAACACTTTCCTACATTGTATAAAGAAAACAAAATATTAAAATAAAAAACATGATTAATAATGATTAAAATAACACAGATTGGCATCATAACATTGACATGGTAACCAGCCAATCAGAGCAATGTCAAGGCACTGCCTCCTGTCATGTGACTTTTTTTTTTTCACTTTTCAAATAAATAAATAAAATGAATGGATAGTGACCCTACATTTTTACAGATTTTACAGGCTGTGCTTGTCAAGAATCTCATTTGTATAATTGTCCCATGCAGTTATCATTTAGTGAGAATTTAAGTAAATAGACAGACAGACAGACAGACAGACAGATAGACAGATAGACAGATAGACAGATAGATAGATAGATAGATAGATAGATTAGACAACTTCTCAGATCCCATCACTGGCTGTCATATGACATCTCAAAACCAAACCAGCCTCACTAATTTTAATGATATTGGTACTGATTTTAATTTATAATTTATTTTTAGTTATAGACTCAAAGTCCTTTCATAAAAGGCACAGTGTAGACACAAAACTCTACCTGCCTATTAGCGAATGAATACACCCCAAGGACCATTCAATATCTAAAAATTGCTGTAGAAATTACATGTTTGCTCGCCAGCTACAATTAAATAGCACTAAATGAATATGGCTTTGGTGATATTTTTAGATGGTCCTCTCCTTCACAGAAGCTGCAGCTCAGGGTCAGAGATTTTCCCCTTGCTTCAATTACCTATTGATGAGAGGGCTTCCCTGCTCTGGCACTGCTTTGGAAAAAGTAAGTCTGGTTTGCATTCAAGATGTCTCAGGAATGACGGCGGCCGGTGGGATCTGAGCAGACGACGCATGCAACAGAAGCTGCCTTTTAATACTTGTCTGATGTTGCTCAAAATAAATTATTTGGGATTCTTGAATTCTCTGGAATGCTTATGGACTTTGAGTTCTTAGAGTCGCTAAACCGTCTTCTTTTCTTTCATCAGTCTTAGTTTTTTTATTTTTAAATGTCTCCCTTATATTTTTGCTAAATGATAATTGCTACCATGGGATAATAGTCAATACTGTATAGCTCGGTTTTGATAATGAGCAACAAAATATGCCCTGGAGAAACCTAGAGAGTCTGTCTCATGCCACACATGTAGACAATTACTCCACACCCATCTGCCATTAGGCAGCGTTACAGAGAATGTTTTCTACTTAATTAAATCCAAATCTCTCAATAGTGGAGCCCGAATGAAATATAATGTGTCTGTTTGGGTCTGGTTTCTTTCCTGCCGCCTCCTTCTTCACTGGTCGTGATATCAGCTCACACTAATATGAAAAGTTTAAAATAATCTCATTTTAGATTAGTTAAAATATATCAAATGTATTAATTAAATATGTTGCGAATATGTAAACTGTTGAATGCATTAAGTCAAACTGATCCAACTATGTATAACACACAATATAAACTTTACAGAGACCTCAATGCTGTATGTTTAAAATAATACTAGTAACTTTAAAATGAGCTTTTTTATTTTCATCATATTTTTTAATATGTTCCTCTGACCTGATCAAAATCTATGAAGCAGGTAACATAAATAAGTTTAAATTCGAAATCACAAAGTCTCATTAAAAACATACTGTAGAAAAATACTATAAAATAACTTTCTTACATTTACTCATGCTTTATATCTTTAAAAACACACATAGAAGTAAATTCTTTCATGAAGGACATATGAAGCAAGTTGTCAAATTGAAATAATTTTTTTGAGCTATCAAACAGGACTGGTTGTCTCTGATATCCCAAAAAGATCATGAGGGTTAAACAGATCTGGAACCAGAATGCAATTATCCACCAAATATAACATGATGCTTTAAATCAAAACATGGCTATTTTAAAACTCTCTGAGCATAAAAAAATATATTGCAAATCATTCAGAATTTAAGCCAAGCATTTACTGTACCTCTCGTAATGAAACCACACAGAAACTTAACAAAGTGAGGGTCTCGGGTGGGCTTTTACTATGCATCTGCACATATCACAATCAAGACATGCTGCCCTACAGCAGGCGCTAAGCTTTCCCCGTCCCATTCTCATCCTGGTCTAGTCTCACCCCTGGGAGCATGCCGAGGGTCAGAGGTTAACAAGTGGCTCTCGGGTTTGTGTGTACGGCTGAGAACAGCACGCGTGCTGAGGGAACAGGTCTCGCACAGCTGTGTTTGGAAAGCAGACTTTCAGACTTGAAAACGGCTTTACAACATTTCTCTTGGAGGATTCGGCAAAACCCATACATCAGAATGAATGGGCTCTCTTACTTTTCCTTCATGACATGAGAAAGTCATATTTTTTATGCACAGTATGGTTTTGTGCTTGCCTGTTAGTTTTATAAAATTTCAGACATTCTTTATATATATATAGTATTTCTGCTCAGCATGAAGTGTCAACAAACATTAAACTATAAAAAGAATAAAAAAAATTTAATAGAATTAAAAAAAATATACATGTATACTGTATATAGTCTGAGAAAGATGCATAGAAAAGATGTGCACACTCTATTCTGAATTAAATACATTGTGCAAAGAATATCTAGTACATTTCTTAACTTTTGAAGATTTTATGGTGGCTTTCTCAACTGTAACCCTTCTGGGCTTTCAGCTTGTACACACCCACTAACCTAACAGTCAATGTCAAACATTCACTTAGTTGCTTTTATATTAGATTTCACACCCCTGCATTTTGACGCACATCCCAAAAAGCATGCATTAGACCGAAAATGACACTACAGCGCCCGATCTTCCCTACATCGGTTCCTGCACGCAGTCAGGCTTTCTGACGGCTGGCCTAGCCGAATGTTTGTAAACATCAACATATGATTGTTGCCTCTCAAAATGCAGTTCCTTATTATACGCTCTACCGCATGGTCAAAAACAAGTTGAAAACCTCGGGCACTTACCCCAGAAGAAGTTCTGCTGACATGGGGTCACAGAACTAAAGAGGCTGTTGGATGCCATGGTCGCCCAAATTTCGCTTCTCTGTGGTTTTCAGTGACCCTTGACGCCTCTTAGGTTGAAAGCGCGCGGCGTGCCAGGGGAAGATGCAAAAAAGGAAAAAACATCCACAAGAAATGCATTTTTGTATCAACTATTTTCATGACCACAAGTAATGACCAGTTCTGGTTTAGGAAAAAATGCAAAAATCTGTCGCCTTATTGGACAGCACGGAGCCAAGCTCACTGCAGAGGATCGAAGCGTACTTACTGGTTGGTGCGGTCCTCAAACCTGAAGTTGACCGGCGACAGTTAACCATTTACGCGCCGCCGTGCAAAAATCCTGAGCCGAACTTTTCTGCGGTTCTGTGGTTGCTCAGGAGGTGAGCGGAGCCTTCACACAAACCCAAAGAGGCACGAGCCTTTAAAAAATCTTTTTTCTTTCCCTCAGAATACTGTCACTGGAGAAGCAGGGTCACATGCTCGTGACATCACTGGAGTCGTGTGGGCCAACTTTTTTCCTTCCTCTGTTTTCCTTCTTCTGGAGACGCGTGGTTCGCCGGCTCTTCCTGGCACTGGAGAGGGAAGGGGTGGGTGTGATGCTGCTGCTCACCCCTCGTGAGTCATGAGGCTTCAGAGGGGGGCGTGAATGCCGAGCGTCTCCCTCTCCACAGATGCACGCTTGCACTTCTCTCCCTCCTGCACTCTTTCTAGCTCTCCATCCTTCTCGGTCGGTCGGCGTGCTGCAGCCTGTCTCCGCTGACCCTGAGGTGATGTGAGGAGAGCTGCTTACACCGCGGAGGTGTGCGTCTCTTCTTTCAGTTTCTTATTCATAAAGCCCCAACATATGCCTGGCACCGTGCATCCATCTCGGTATGCGTGTGCGTGTGCGAATGAGTCGGCCTCTCTGTTCTCCACATGAGGGATTCCTGTAAGAGGCGATACATTATTCGGTACCTGACAGCCGGGTGTGTGAAGAAGAGCATGTGACAAACCACTATCATGCTCTTCGACTCACTGGTTTCATACGGCACGCAGACATTTGCCTGGCAGTGGACCATTTATCTTACACTATGAACAAGCAGTCAATACTATAATATTTTGTTGACAATTCTGTCATCATTTAGTCAACATCAAGTCTTTTCAAAATTGTATGACTTACTTGAACACAAAGGAAAACATTTTGAATAATGTTGGTGTCAATGGGGTCCAACAACACTGGACCCCATTGACATCATTGTATGGATAAAACTATTTGTAAATATCTTCTTTTATGTTCCACAGAAGAAAGAACATCATACAGGTTTGGAACGACAGAGTCAATGATGCCATTTACAATTTGGGGTGAACTGTCACTTTAACATTCTTTTTATTGAAACCAACATACATCAAAAACTCAGTTCTCACGTTTAAATGTTTTTAAACACTTTCCTACATTGTATAAAGAAAACAAAATATTAAAATAAAAAACATGATTAATAATGATTAAAATGACACAGATTGGCATCATAACATTGACATGGTAACCAGCCAATCAGAGCAATGTCAAGGCACTGCCTCCTGTCATGTGACTTTTTTTTTTTCACTTTTCAGTTCAAGCCATGCAAAATAAATAAATAAAATGAATGGATAGTGACCCTACATTTTTACAGATTTTACAGGCTGTGCTTGTCAAGAATCTCATTTGTATAATTGTCCCATGCAGTTATCATTTAGTGAGAATTTAAGTAAATAGACAGACAGACAGACAGACAGACAGATAGACAGATAGACAGATAGACAGATAGATAGATAGATAGATAGATAGATTAGACAACATCTCAGATCCCATCACTGGCTGTCATATGACATCTCAAAACCAAACCAGCCTCACTAATTTTAATGATATTGGTACTGATTTTAATTTATAATTTATTTTTAGTTATAGACTCAAAGTCCTTTCATAAAAGGCACAGTGTAGACACAAAACTCTACCTGCCTATTAGCGAATGAATACACCCCAAGGACCATTCAATATCTAAAAATTGCTGTAGAAATTATATGTTTGCCCTGCCAGCTACAATTAAATAGCACTAAATGAATATGGCTTTGGTGATATTTTTAGATGGTCCTCTCCTTCACAGAAGCTGCAGCTCAGGGTCAGAGATTTTCCCCTTGCTTCAATTACCTATTGATGAGAGGGCTTCCCTGCTCTGGCACTGCTTTGGAAAAAGTAAGTCTGGTTTGCATTCAAGATGTCTCAGGAATGACGGCGGCCGGTGGGATCTGAGCAGACGACGCATGCAACAGAAGCTGCCTTTTAATACTTGTCTGATGTTGCTCAAAATAAATTATTTGGGATTCTTGAATTCTCTGGAATGCTTATGGACTTTGAGTTCTTAGAGTCGCTAAACCGTCTTCTTTTCTTTCATCAGTCTTAGTTTTTTTATTTTTAAATGTCTCCCTTATATTTTTGCTAAATGATAATTGCTACCATGGGATAATAGTCAATACTGTATAGCTCGGTTTTGATAATGAGCAACAAAATATGCCCTGGAGAAACCTAGAGAGTCTGTCTCATGCCACACATGTAGACAATTACTCCACACCCATCTGCCATTAGGTAGCGTTACAGAGAATGTTTTCTACTTAATTAAATCCAAATCTCTCAATAGTGGAGCCCGAATGAAATATAATGTGTCTGTTTGGCTCTGGTTTCTTTTCTGCTGTCTTCTTCTTCATTGGTCGTGAGATCTATCAGCTCACACTAATATGAAAAGTGTAAAACAATCTCAATTTAAATTAGTTAAAATATATAAATGTGTTTATTAAATACACTGGCAAATATGTAAAATGTTGAACGCATTAAGTTAAACTGATCAAAATGTGTCACACACACTTTAAACTTTACAGAGACCTCAGTGCTGTATGTTTAAAATTAGTAATTTCAAAATTAGCCTTTTATTTTCATCACCATATTTTTCGAATATGTTCTTCTGACCTGATCAAAATCTATAAACCAGATAACACAAAAAAAGAGGTTTAAATCTGAATCACAAAGTCAAAAAAGTCAACAAAACTTAAAAATAAATAAATAAAAACAGTATTTCTACATTAAAAACATTGTAGAAGTATACTGTAAAATAACATGTTTTATATCTAGAGTATTTAATAACACATACAATAGTAATTTCTTTCATGAATGACATATGAAGCATGTTATCAAGTTCCCCCCATCATGTTCTCATCCTGGTCTAGTCTCACCCCTGGGAGCATGCCAAGGATCAGAGGTTAACATGCTAATAGAAGGCACTGATTGCTGCAAGTGGCTCTCGGATTCGCGTACGGCAGAGAACAGCACGCGTGCTGAGGGAACAGGCCTCGCACAGCTGTATTTGCAAAGCAGACATTCAGACCTGAAAACAGCTTTACAACATTTCTCTTGGAGGATTTGGCAAAACCCATACATCAGAATGAATGGGTTCTCTTACTTTTCCTTCGTGACATGAGAAAGTCATATTTCTTTATGCACAATATATATTTGTGCTTGCCTGTTAGTTAGTTCGATTTTTAAAATTTCAGACATTCTTATATATCATTAGTATAAATATAGTATATTTCTTCTCAGCATGGTGTCAACAAACATAATAAATTATAAAAAGAATATGATTTTCAGCAAAGTGAGCATGATTTAAAAATAAATAAATATATCTGGAGCCCTCAATGGCACAGTAATAAAAAACAAACAAACAAAATATATATAATATACTGTATATATATATATATATATAAATGCAGGCAAGCAGTCTGAGAAAGATGCATAGTAAAGATGCACACACTATATTTTTAATTACCGGTAAATACATTTTGCAAAGACTATCTAGTACATTGCTCAACTTTTGAAGACTTTAAGGTGCCTTTCTCAACTGTAACGCTTCTGGGCTTTCAGTTTGTACACACCCACTAACCTAACAGTCAATGTCAAATATTCACTTAATTTATTTGATATTAGATTTCACACCGCTGCTTTTATGAAGCACATCCCAAAAAGCATGCATTACGCTGAAAATGACACTTCAGCACCCACTCTTTCCTACATCGGTTCCTGCATGCAGCCAGGCTTTCCGACGGCTGGCCTAGCTGAATGTTTGTAAACATCAACACATGATTGTTGCCTCTCAAAACGTAGATCCTTATTATACACTCTACCGCATGGTCAAAAACAGAGTGAAAACCTCGGGCACTTACCCCAGAAGTAGTTCTGCTGACATGGGGTCATAGAACTAAAGAGGCTGTTGGATGCCATGGTCGCCCAAATTTTGCTTCTCTGCGGTTTTCGGTGACCCTTGACGCTTCTTAGGTTGAGAGCGCGCGGCGTCCCAGGGGAAGATGCAAAAAAGGAAAAAACATCCACAAAAAATGCGTTTTTGTATGAACTATTTTCATGACCACAAGTAATGACCAGTTCTGGTTTAGGAAAAAATGCAAAAATCTATCGCCTTATTGGACAGCACGGAGCCAAGCTCGATGCAGAGGATAGTGTGGTTGAAGCTTACTTACTAGTTGGTGCGGTCCTCAAACCTGAAGTTGACTGGCGACAGTTAACCATTTATGTGCCACCGTGCAAAAATCCCGAGCCGAACTTTTCTGCGGTTCTGTGGTTGCTCGGGAGGTGAGCAGAGCCTTCACACAAACCCAAAGAGGCACGAGCCTTTAAAAAATATTTTTTCTTTCCCTCAGAACACTGTCACTGGAGAAGCAGGGTCACATGCTCGTGACATCACTGCAGTCGTGTGGGCCAACTTTTTTCCTCCACTGCCTTCCTCTGTTTTCCTTCTGGAGACGCGTGGTTCGCCGGCTCTTCCTGGCACTGGAGAGGGAAGGGGTGGGTGTGATGCTGCTGCTCACCCCTTGTGAGTCATGAGTCTTCGGAGGGGGGCGTGAATGCCGAGTGTCTCCCTATCCGCATACTGTATGTGCAAGCTTCTTTCCCTCCTGCTCTCTTTCTACCTCTTCATCCTTCTTAGTCGGTTGGCATGCTGCAGC